CAAACATGCAAAAATGAATTTGTGAAACTGTTGATAAAGAAGATACTTCTCAAATTTCAGCCAGGAAATCCTCAACCAAGAATGTTTCGCCTAAGTAATGACAAAGCGGTAATCAACCGTTATGGATTTAATTCACATGGACACGAAGCGGTAAAAATTCGGCTTCGAGATCGTCTCCGAAGATACCTTTTCCATGAAATGAAACTCCATCCTGTAACCGCCGCCTCAATGATTGCCTCGTCGCCTGATGGTGCATCATTGTCGGATGCACTTGGAATCAATAGAAGTTTAAGAGAGGGAAGACTATTGGGGATAAATTTAGGAAAAAACAAATGGAGTGATCCGGAATCAGCAGACGATTATGTGAAGGGAATAAAGACACTTGGCAGTTATGCCGATGTATTGATTATAAACGTGAGCAGTCCCAACACTCCTGGATTGCGAGGATTACAAAGGAAGGGTGTCTTTGAGAAGCTTCTAAAAAAAGTATGTAATACAATTTCTCCAATTTCATTGAAGATATCTATTAAGACAATTTTTTCGAATGTTACAGGTCGTCGATGCACGCGATGAATTAAGTGGGCCACGCCCTGTGCTATTGGTTAAAATTGCACCTGACCTCTCGGACGAAGAATTGGATGACATTGCCGATGCTGCAGTTTATAGTAACGTTGATGGTGTGATCATCGCAAACACATCAACGTCAAGACCCTTGTCGTTGAAAAGTGGTAAGTCTTTTTTTTAATCTCAATGATCAACACATCGACTAAATACACTCTTAAAATAATTTTAAAGGATCACACCTAACTGGCGAAGCAGGTGGCTTATCAGGACCTCCTATAAAAAATTTATCACTTAGAGCTCTACGAAAAATATATAAACGCACTGATGGCAAAATTACACTTATTGGTTGTGGGGGAATTGATAATGCTGAAGACGCCTTGGAGTACGCAAAAGCTGGTGCCACTTTGGTGCAACTTTATACTAGTTTTGGATACGATGGAGTTGGTAAAGCACGAGAGATTAAAGATGGTTTGGTCAAACTATTAAAAGATAAATCGTGGTCTGATGTTATTGGAGATGAAGGAAATTAGGTGGAAAA